TTAGATGAGTGGTTATAGATAGATCAGATACAACAGCTACCACACCCACCTTCAAACATATTTACATCCCATCATCATCATTCCTACCTTCTCTTTTCTTCCTCCCAATTTTTCCCAACAAACCAATTTAATATCTTTTTTGCCTTACCGGCAAAGGTCTTAACCTGACCAATCCACTTAGGTCAGATTTGGTCGAGATTGGTTGAGTTATGTCAGGAGACCTAACTGGTCGGAACATGACCAGTCCCCCTAGGTCGTGTTTGGTCAGGTTAGGTTGGGTTAGGTCGAGTTACCTAACTGGTCTCATACTGGTCTTAACCTGACCAATCCACTTAGGTCAAATTTGGTCGAGATTGGTTGAGTTATGTCAGGAGACCTAACTAGACGGAACATGACCAGTCCCCCTAGGTTGTGTTTGGTCAGGTTAGGTCGGGTTAGGTCGAGGTACCTAACTGGTCTCATACTGGTCTTAACCTGACCAATCCACTTAATTCAAATTTGGTCGACATTGGTTGAGTTATGTCAGGAGACCTAACTGGTTGGAACATGACCAGTCCCCCTAGGCCGTGTTTGGTCAGGTTAGGTCGGGTTAGGTTGAGAAACCTAACTGGTCTCATACTGGTCTTAACCTGACCAATCCACTTAGGTCAAATTTGGTCGAGATTGGTTGAGTTATGTCAGGAGACCTAACTGGTCGGAACATGACCAGTCCCCCTAGGTCGTGTTTGGTCAGGTTAGGTCGGGTTAGGTCGAGTTACCTAACTGGTCTCATACTGGTCTTAACCTGACCAATCCACTTAAGTCAGATTTGGTGGTGATTGGTTGAGTTATGTCAGAAGACCTAACTGGTCAGAAAATGACCAGTCACCCTAGGTTGTGTTTGGTCAGGTTAGATCGGGATAGGTCGAGATACCTAACTGGTCTCATACTGGTCTTAACCTGACCAATCCACTTAGGTCGGATTTGGTCATGATTGCTCAAGTTAAGTCAGGAGACCTAACTGGATTGGGTTGGATCAGGTCAGACTTGGTTGCTTTACCTAACTGGTCCAAACTGTTCATAACTTGACCCTTAAGTCAAATTAGATCTTGCATGGTTGGATTACCAAAGTGGTCATAACTGGTCACAACCTGACCAGTGCCCTTAAGTCGGATTTAGGTCGTATTAGGTCGGATTAGGACCTTCTGAGTTTCGCCACTAGATGTCTCCACCTGAAATTTAAATAAAAGCCCCTTTTTGGCCTGGATGGCTAGAATTTTCAAATATTATAATTTTTTTCAAAAGAATTGATCTGTAAGATATAATACCCAAATATTTGAAAAAATAACTTTTTTGGAAAATTTAGATTTTTACGGAATTAATTGATGTTTTCGGAAAAATCAATGTCAGTAAATTGTAAACTTTGTGACAAATAGAAGTTCTTTTCTACAGTATTTATAGCAGGTATAGATTAGAGTGTAAGTATGAATTGATGAATGAATTGTATTTGGATGANGTGATCAAATCGTCGACAATCACCTCAACAACACGTGAATTATCACGGGATATTGACGGGTCACTCGTGTGAAATAAACCAAATAATCTTGTGTTCTTCACGGGTTTTTGTTTGTTGGGTAGTGACGAGTAGGGTGGGGGTAAGGGTAATAACAACAGAAGGACAGTTATGGTGTGAATGTAATACCAGGGGGGGGGAAGGTTAAAGTGTAGCTGTACTAATAGAATAAATTACGCTCTGCTCAGTGGTTAATAAATAAATGTCTTGTTTAATCATTTGGACGTCAAAACATTGGTCATTTGGACGTCAAAAGTTTGGTCATTTGGACGTCCAAAGTGACGTCATTTTGACTTCGAAAGTTTGGTCGTGAGGACGTAAGAATCCTTGCGTTAAACGTCCTCAACACCTAAAATATGACGTCACCGGACGTCGCACTGGTAATTATTGATGTCCCCATGACGACCTTAGGACGTCCTCTGGTTTCTAGGGAAGTATGTGTTTGGGTGGCACTGGATTTGAATGAAAGTGTAAAGTGGTTATGATTTTAAAAAGTGTATAGGAAATGAAAAAAAGCCTAAAATGAGATTCAGCATTTTTCTGATACCAGCTTTGGATCTTTTTGTTGATTGCCTGCCTAATCAAGTTCATATATATATATATATATATATATATTGCAGATGGCGCTATTTAAACTCTACTCTTAATGAATGGCGCTGAATCCTTAATGAGTAAAGATGGCGCTCAATCTCTAATCTTTATAGGTGGCACATTAGTTGCCTACTTTCTCACAAGCAGAACGGACCTACTATGCAGTCCCAGAATTGCAGCAGGGGAAGCGCTGAGTTTAGTTACGCATCTAGTATCCTACAGGAGAAGCTGGAGGCATAGATTAAAAAAAATCTTCATCTTCAGCTTAGTGCACTGAAAGAGGAGTTTAACCCCTCGTGGGAATACAAGCCATGCACAACGATACCGGTTTTTTACGTGACCAGATGTGAGGACTGGACTGCAATGGAAGATACCTCTCAAGAGAGCTTTCAGGGATCACAACTCCCCATTTTGAATATGGGGTGCAGTTATGGGTAAATTCCTTCATTCACCTAACTGGGAAACAGTATAAAATGAAGGAACACAGGGAGAAATCCCCTATACTCTTCTTCATACAAACCTTCTTATCTATCTCCTACCTGCTCCACAACTCAATGTTAAAAGAACTATTTAGAAAGGCCTTAAAGTGTATAAACAAGAAACAAGAAGCAAGAAGAAAAAATAAATTGAACAGAAAAAAGTGGAAGGGAAATCTCTTGACAATAGAGATGGGTGCTTAAAGCAAGATAAACAGGAAAGAAGAAGAAAACTATAAACAGGAAAAATTAGAAGAGGATTTGACTTTTACACTATCTATTTTTTCACTGATAGCGAATAAAGACAAATACACAGAATGCCAGACGTCCCATCCCCACCTCTATGTCCTACTCATGAAAAAAAACTGGAACATGTGTAAAACGCCCCCCTCACCCCTCTCCCCCTCCATCAAGAAAATTTTATTGAAAGTGTCTTAGGAATGCAGGAGCTGACACAGTATCATGACTGAAGAAAATTTTTCTTAGAAAAATTTAAATACAAACAAGGGAGAGAGTAACCTTGCCACTCTCAATATATAGAATATTGATACAGGGCTCCACAAAATAGTTCTGCCTTTGCAATTTGGCTAGCTGCAGAAAACATCCAAAAAATGCATTTATTTTTATTTTCAAAATTAGCCAAAGTATGATTGAAGGATGGACAAGGAATGGAAGATCAAGAAGAAAGAATAAAAAACAAGAAATATAAAAGTCTCAAAATGTTTCCATATTGAAATTTAAAAATATTGTAAAATTTAATTAAAATTAATTATTAAAGTTAAAAATGGTGGCGAAACCTTTGCATTTATCCAAGGAACTATGTACAGGAGCACCCAACTCATATATATGCAAATTGTGTACTGTACACTCTGGGAGGAATGGAAACGGCGCGGTGACAAACTCCTGAAAGACAAACTCCTGAAAGACAAACTCCGGAAAGACAAACTCCTGAAAAGACAAACTCCTGTCTTAACCTAACCTAACCCTAAATAATAAAAAATAAATTATAACAAATTTGCTGGTTATTCTGATCATTGTAATACTTTGCTGCTTGAAACATATTCAAATTACTAAAAATTGAGAATTTTTTCTAGGATATTTGCGGATTTTGTCTCCTAAAGTTTATGAATTTTATCATATTTCATTCAGAGAAAAATTTTATAATTTCAGGAGTTTGTCTTTCAGGAGTTTGTCTCGTCAGGAGTTTGTCTCGTCAGGAGTTTGTCTTTCCGGAGTTTGTCTTTCAGGAGTTTGTCTTTCCGGAGTTTGTCTTTCAGGAGTTTGTCTTTCAGGAGTTTGTCACGGCACCATGGAAACAAACCCGGTGCCCCCACAAAAGTTGAAGGGAAAGGACTAAAGCTCTGATGTGATATTACAGTCCAACAAACAGCAAGTTAATATATCAAGTTTAAGTGAATACATATGATTTTTGGCTTTCTGGTCAACATGGAAAATACAATAGCAATAGCAATATATTTTTATTCCACCCCTTGGGGCCCTTTTCCCTCAAAATGATGCGTTGCCCCTGAATTCTTTGTTTTGATCTCCTCTCACTGCAGTACATGGATTTGACACATGAGATATATCAGTTCCTGGTCAATATATTTCTTGCATTTATCTATCTAGGGATATCCAGTTCCTGGTGGTTTATCTGCCCTGAAAAAGTCAAGAAATGGAGACTGGGAAACCCAGGAACTTATTCAACATGATGGAACTAAACTTTCCCAGGTACCAACCCAACAGAGTTTACAGCAAATTGACTGTTTGCTTAATTTCAAGTGATCCTTCATGCAAAGATTGCAATGCCCGTTTCACAACGTTACCCTTGAAACCTTTTTTGATCAGTATTGGGATAATATTGTTGTTTTCCTAGGTTTAAAAGTGTTTAATTTTGATAATTCTTGCATAATTTTCTGCAGTAGAATGCACAATTCCCATATTTAGAGAAACCACAATTGAAAATAATCAGTTTTCAAAATTATAAATATTAATATGAAAATCGAAATCATGAATTGGTGAATCAAACATTGCTATCTTTGCATGCATGGGTGGACACAGGATTTCAGCCAGGGGGGAGGGGGTGCAAGATAATATAATAATAATAATAATAGTATAGAGTACGTGAGTCAGATTCTAATAGAAACGCATAAATAACTTCCAGCATATATATTTCTTATAACTTATTACTAGAGGGTTCAGAACTAGAGTCAATATTGATATCACACGTGTAGATGTTTTATCAGTACTATGCTCCGTATCCGTTCTATCTCATTCTATTGAATCTTGTGGAACTTGTTTAACGCGGCCAGGCATCGTCTTCCACAATAGGAACATAAAGCAATTTAAAGTCAAAAATAAATTACTAGGAAAGTTAAATTTGGAACAATATTAAAATTTTTATTTGCAAGTTTGAAGTTAGATAGTAATAGTTTTAAAAGTTTCATTTCTAACAAACATCTACATTTATCATTTACATTCAAGAGTTGATTTTTAATTAATTTAAATAACTTTTAAATGGGTATAATATATGATTTATCAAACATTATTTTATCGATTAGGGAACATTTTATGCCTCAAAATCTCAGGGGGAGGGGGCAAAGGTACCCTCCCTCCACCTGTGGCCGCCCTTGTTGAAATAACGCTTTTCGAGCAGTCTCTTTTAAAATTTTAAAATTTCTCAAATTTTGTTTTTAGATTTCCCAGGGGGCTAGGTTTGGTAAAACAGTGGTTCTTGGTTCTCCTTTCTCTCGGGGTATTCTTGTCTGTACTGTCTAATACATGGAGAAATAACAAAATTATCCTCTTTTATTTGATTAAATAAATAATTTGAAATAGAAATTGTTTCCCTCATTTTTTCAGAATTATTAAGATTTGTTATATCTTTCAACACCTTGACTTGAAAGAGATCTTTGGACTCAATCTTACATTCTGTTCCTGTATTCTCAATAATAAGATTGAAAAAACACAATTTCTTGACAAGAAAACTCATTTATTTAACAGTAACTAGATAATCCTTCACTAGAAAACTCTGTTTCAAGAAAATATACTTCATCTTGTTTACTGGATGGCTCGAATTCTTGACTTAGTGGCTTGGATTTTTGACTTAATGACTTTGCTCAATTTTCTGAGGACTCCTCAATATCCTTCTTAATAGATTTTCCAGGGAGGTTAAATATAAATAGTCCCATAACTTGTAGTGTTCATACCTAAATATTCAATCTTTCATTTATAGGGAATACAGCTGTAAAGCTTTAGCAACTAAACTTGATGCTTACTGCACAAACACAGATATAACTAGGGCTGGGCACGTTCCGACTTTTTTGAAATCGTTTCGTTTGTTCTAGAATGAGGGCCTTCAGCTAAATCGTTCCGTTCTCGTTCCTCTTTTTTTATCGTTCCATTATGGTTCCGTTCCGTTCTGAGTAGAAGAACGGTCTTCCTGTTCAGTTCTTGGTATTCTTAGTTGAAGAAACGTTGCGTCCCTCTTGTTCTGTTCTTAATCAAGAGCTTTTCCATCCCCCGTTCTGTTCTTCGTAACGAACAATTCCATTCAAGGCAAAAGTTTTATAGAAAAGAGTTGGTTAAAAAGTAAAAAAATTACGATTTTTTAATAAAAGTTCCTCACAGCCGTAAATAATACTTTAAATTATACATATATTTTAGAGTTAAAAGAATAAGCTTAGATAATTTCTGGTCTGAGTAATGTATAATTTTGTGAGAGTGGGGGGAGGGGCGGGAGTGCTAATATCCTTAGTATGTATGTTATACAGAAGTTAAACTGAAACCTGCTGTGTTCACTAAGTGTTGTCAGTTTAGCAGAGCCCAAAACTTAAGACAGGGTATCGTTATGAAAACCAATTTTAAAACCCGGGTTTCACAAATGGGGTTAGGCAGTTTTATGAATATCAATATTTTTGTAATAAAATATTATTTTTTTCACTTGATTTAAATTTTCCATTTTTTTTCGAATCTCTTAAATCAAAATCTACACAAATGTTTGATTTAAAATGCGTTCCCAACTTAGAACAAGTTCTTGATAATAAGAACATGTTAACGATTTTAACCGTTCTTTTCAAGCAATTCCCATTTAGCTCCGTTCTTTTACTAATCGTTCCAATATTTTTAAGGACTTGTTCTAAGCGTTTTTTTTCAGAACGATGGGATCGTTCTTGATCATTCAGTTCGTTCTTGGGAAAGAACGATCGTTCCACCAGGAACATGTCCAGCTCTAGATATAACACTAGATATTGTCTTTTCAAGATTAAGGGGTTTTTCGTTCACAATAACCCTAAGGCAGAGGAGTTGGCACATGCGCCATGGATCAGGCTCTCTCTCTTTCTCTTCAAATTCAACACATGTACCCCCTGTTTTTTTTTTCACCTAGTACAACATGATAATAACAAGTCTCTTTACTCTGCCTGAACCTGGAACCTAAAAGCCCTGTTTATTATTTTATCATAATTGCTAGAATTATCTTTAAATATAGATGTTTTTTTTTTCATTTACACTGTACCTGTTCAAGAAAAATGCAAACATATCTTTACAAAGCTCTGCCAGAACTCGCAACCTGAAAGCTCCATCTATCTTTATGTTTTTTTTTTTTGAAACAAGAGTTCAAATACTTAGGTAGGATTATTGATAGAATTATTTTTATATATAGATAATGTTTTTTTTCAGTGTGTACTTGTTCCAGAATATTGTAAACATAGCTCTACAAAGCTCTGCTAGAACTCGTAACCTGAAAGCTTGGTTTATCATTAAGTTTTTTTTTGACACACAAGTTTAATTACTTAGGTAGGATGATTGATAGAATTATTTTTAAATTTAGATAATGTTTTTTTCAGTATACACTGTACCTGTTCCAGAACATTGTAATCATAGCTCTACATTTCTTCTTTCCCTCTGGCATGACCTGTTATACTAAAATTCTAAACACCCTATATAATTTATATATTTCCCCTAAGGCATTTTCCCAAAGACATATTCCCAAAGGCAATTTCCCAATGGCAACTTTAAATGTAAATTTCACACTTGGTAACTTCCCAAAGGTTAGGGTAAGCCCTCTGAGGCCCTACAGGCTGCATTGGGGATCAAGTACTGCAGAGGCTAGAGAGGCTAGAATGGACTAGGGGGGCTGAGCGTTGTGACTAGAAAAGGCTAGGGACCAAGCCCTGTGGTTAGGATGGACTTGGGATGTCGTGGCTAGGGAAATTGCACATTTGGTAAGCTGCCACTTCAGAAAATTCCCCTGGAAAGTTGTTGCTTGAGAAAATGCCTTCGTCAAAGTACCTAACATCCCCAAGACCACTTCATGGTTCTTGCTTATTAAGCATGAACAAATAACAGTTAAAGAATTATGCTTTGAGGTTGGGCTGGGCAACTTACATGTAACAAATGATAAGCTTTAAAAATTTAATGGAAGAGTCTGTTATCGATTTTGACTTTATGTTTAAAAAGTCTGCCCTAGATTTGGCTGGAAAAACTGAGAACAAATCCTGTTTCTCTTCTTTATAACACATACTTATTAATGCATTTACCAGAGGCAACTTTTGAGAGATCTTACTAGTAATAAGTGAAACTAGTTAGGGATAAGAAACTGAGGTTCATCATTCTTGCAATTATAGGAAAAAGGAGTTATGTTCTAAGTCTATAGAAACTAATGAAAAAATTCTACAGCTAAATGGAAGAACTATTGGTTAAAAATTCTGAAGGAAAAAGACTGCTGTTTAAAAGACAAACTAGCTTACAAATTTAATAAATCAATATTTTTTTTTGGCTCATTGTTAAAAATTAAAACTGACCGTTACATAAAAGGAATATTTAAAAAGTAAAAGCATGCCCAGTGACAAGAATGGACATTAAGAGATCCTAATTGAGTTTAATTTGTGAAAGGGAATAAGTGGTATATGTTTAAACTAATTATGTTTAGCTTATAGAGGCAAAATATGTTTAAGAATGCATTTTTAAGAATTTCCTCAAAAAGATTTTCAAAAGGTTGCCCCTAACCTCAAATTTTAATTGTACCTTAGGGTCTTCAACAATACTGAAGAAAAAGATGTAGAATCCAGGACAAGAATTCAGTATGACTGTTGCATATTTTGCAGGAATAGGTAGTAGTAGTGTAGAAGTAGGTAATAAATCTAACCCAAATAAACCTAACCCAAACAAGAATAGTGATAGGAAAAATCCATTAAAAATTAAAAATAAATGTTAATTGATTCAAATTTAGCATAATTACCAAAAAACCAAGGAAGGCCAAGCAAAAAGAAAAGACGAAAAGTATTTTTAACCATAGTGTAAAACAGTAGCTTAGTCTCAGGCTTAGCATCAAAAATTCCTCCACTAGGCTTGGAAATCCTCAAAATATTAATTAATTAGCAAGTTTCTTTTCACTGTACACTAGACCAAGTCAGTGTAACAGTGTACACACATGAAAAAATAGACAATGACAAGGGCAGGTTCAAGAAGGAGCATGAAGAATCCCATATTACTAGCCTGAAAAGATATGTAATTGCAAACTTGTCTTTTTTGGCTTTGAATGCTTGATTATTTTTATTTCACAACAAGACCAATCATTAAATCTTCTTAATATTTATATTTTCAAAGAAAATGTACCTTATTCTAAGCACCTTATAGATAGTTTTTAGCACAATAATAATCACTACAAAGTTAAAAACCAGCACAAATCCTTAACAGTTTACTAGTATTATTACACAATATTCATGCAACTCTTAATTGTGTGTTACCTAAAGGAACTACTAAAGCAAAGATAGCACTGCCATGTAACAAGCAGCTGTTAACATGATTCTCATAATTCCTGCAATTTTGCTTTAAAAGCAAAAGGTGACACATTTTGGCTTTTATTAACCAAAACTGCTCAGAGCCTGCAATTTTAAAGCTTCAACTCAAGTCGTAATTCCTTAAACCCAGCTTTTAGACCCAATCTTATAGACCAAAATCTAACGACAGCTTGTGTCACATGATTGACAGCTGTGATATCTTAGGCTAAACTTAGTTAAGCCCAATAAAAATAAAACCGACCTTGGTTTTATGAACTCAACTCTTTGCAAAACTTTATGCAATTTAAATCTGAAAGCCCAAGCTGTAAATAAGGCCCAGCGACAGCGTACACCTGAGTTGTATTTTCTTGAACTTTTTAAATTGCGGGCTCTGTGTCCAAACTTAATGAATTTAAGCCGCGTCTCAAATCCCCCAAAACCGGTTTTAATTGAGCGTAGGGTTTCCACGAAATGGCAAAAAATAGTTCAAATAAACATGAAAATAGTTCAAATGAAATAGTTCAAATGAAAAAAAATAGTTCAAATGGAAAAAAAAAATAGTCTAAATGGACTAAAAAATAGTTCAAATGGGCAAAAAAATAGGCTAGGTTAGGTTAGGTTAGGTTAGGTTAGGTAAAAGATAGTTCAAATTAAACTATTTTTTTGTTCATTTGAACTATTTTTATTGTCCATTTAAACTATTTTTGTGTTCATTTGAACTATTTTTTTGTTCATTTGAACTATTTTTTTTGTCCATTTTAACTATTTTTTTTTTGCGCAAAATCGCAAGTTTTACGCAAAATGTAACTTTTTAGGCAAGTTGTCAAAAATTGATATTCTAAGCTTTGAATTGAACAACTGAAGATTTATTCCATACATAAAAAAAATATTAACATACGAGTGTAATAACGATTATACTACACTCAATTGGTTACTTCCAGTTACAAAAAGTTTAAATTAAGGGACCAAAAGTAATTAAATAGAAATTAGAGAGTGTGAAACTTGGCAATATTTTAATCCTATTAAATAATTTCAAGTGACCTTTAAAAGCTTTGCCTAATCAAGTATGAATTATATTCTTAAATTTTTTTAATCAAATTTCTGAAATCTTTTTAATCTCATATAAAATAATGCAAGAAAGTAACCAATGCCTGAAGAATCCACTTTTAGGAAATATGCATGTCCAAAACTAAAATTGTTGAGAAAATTGTGAGATTTGAACTCTTCTTAACTGTCATTGGTCAAAATTATGTAAAAGTGACCAATAGGAAGACATTCCAAAACAAGATTTTCCAGAATTTAATTCTAAGAAACACACACGTCGTCACAAACCGTTTAATTTTTAAGAAATTGTGGAATTGCGCAAAACTCCGGTTGCGGAATTGCGCAAAACTTGAGTTTTGCAAAAGCGGAATAGGGCAATTTTTCGCGAAATGACTTTTGCGAATGATTGCGCAAATTGTTGTTTTTTTCGCGCAAAACTGATGCGCAAAGAAAGAAAAATTTTGCGTTTCGTTCTGCAAAAATTGTGTAAAAGTTTTGCGAATGGAAACCCTAATTGAGCGCAGGCATAAATCTTGAAAAATTGAATACAATTTTAAGTGAAACCAACCATATTTGAGCCATGGCTTAAATTTAAGCTGCGGGTCAAATTCTTTAAATTCGGCCTCTGATATTTGATACAATTTAAAATGAAATGATAAATTTTTCTTCTAATTCTTAAACTTACTTTTGTGTGAAGATTAATTTATTAATGCAATTAAAAAATTTAAAATTATGTGTTTGATCTTTCAGCAAACACTTATGTAAAATCAAAAAAAAACTAACTAATAGTATTCAATGGTTCTGCAGTAATCATGCATATTGCATTTTGCATGATAATGATGGAAACTATTCATTTGACTATCTAGCTGAAATAAATTCTGAATTAATTAGATATGAATAGGGGTGTGTTCAAAACAAGAAGGTTTAAAAATGGTGATTTTCATAATATTTTCCTGGCAAAAGCTCTGAGCCAATAATTTTGAGATTGCTGACACCTCTAAGGGGGAAGTCCCAAACTACTTGGTCTTAAAGTTGGATAGGAAAAAGAGGGTGTCCAAGGAGTATTGTGGATGCTATATCATTTGGACTACTGCCGTTTGAACTATTGTTCATTTCAACTACTGCAGGTGGGACCATGTGAGTAGTTTAAATGAACAATAGTTCAAATGAGTAAATATATTGCTCATTTGAACTATTTTTTAGTTCATTTGAACTATTTTCATTTGAACTATTAAAATATTATTAATAAAATAAACAAAAATAGTTCAAATGAACATAAAAATAGTTTAAATGAAAAAAAATAGTTCAAATGAATAAAAAAATAGTTCAAATGAACAAAAAAATAGTTTAAATGGACAAAAAAATAGTTCAAATGAACATAAAAATAGTTAAAATGGACAAAAAAAAATAGTTCAAATGAACAAAAAAATAGTTCAAATGAACACAAAAATAGTTTAAATGGACAATAAAAATAGTTCAAATGAACAAAAAAATAGTTTAATTTGAACTATCTTTTACCTAACCTAACCTAACCTAACCTAACCTAACCTAACCTAACCTATTTTTTTGCCCATTTGAACTATTTTTTAGTCCATTTAGACTATTTTTTTTTCCATTTGAACTATTTTTTTTTCATTTGAACTATTTTCATGTTCATTTGAACTATTTTTTTGTTCATTTGAACTATTTCATTTGAACTATTTTTATGTTCATTTGAACTATTTTTATGTTCATATGAACTATTTTTATGTTCATTCTGTGTAATGTTTATCTAATTAATTGTCATGAATATAACTTTATGTGTTTTAAAAACTAATAAATTGTATAAAAAAATTGAAATTTTACATAACAGCCGGATTTTAATGTAACAAACTTTGAATCTAGTTAAAACAAATATGGAGAGAATAGGTGGCGCCACCTGTAACAACCTCTTTTGACGGGTCAAGATTCAAAGCTGAATAATCATATAACAAATGATTACATAGTTGCGCAGTAAGTTGAAGGGACATCCAACAAATTTTGACGCATGCTAATTTTTAAACCGCGCAGTGTCGCTGGTTGAATCGACATGAAACAAACTTTGTGAGATGATAATTATATGGAGGCGCGGCACAGCGAGCGTACAAACACCGGTTGATAGATCATGTAACAAACTTTAAATTAAGGCGACTGAAAATACATTCAACAAAATTTGACGAATGATTCTACTAAGGTGTATTTGAGTCCGGTGCTCCAACAAATTTTGTTAGATGAAAATCTGAAATTTCTTAGAGTGTAACCTTAGTCCATATATTGATGCAATCATTGGACCAAAATCTGGCCTCAAATACCGGCCTCGCCACTGTGAGGCAGTATGAAATTAACAGTGTTCCAGAAATTTTTGCTTTTCAAAATTGTTTCAATATTGTTCCAATATGCATGCTTTAAATTTTAATGCTCAAGGTTACTATTTATATGCTAAAAAGCTCAAAAGAATCATTCACATTCAGAATGTTGTCAATCTTACTAATATTTACCTCATAAGGTAAGGCAAGCTGCCGGTTAACTGTCCTAGGGCAACAGTTAAAATCACTGAAACAAGTTTAAATTAGCACTCCTGGATGCAACAACAATTTGAGGTAGTGTTAAAAATGTATCATTTAGATTTTTCTCTAATTTAATCAGATTGAGAAGGTTGTTAACTAAAAGTATAAAATATTCAGTAATTCCTCAATGAAGGTGCTGTGGACCCCTCCTTTTGAAAAAGAGCAACCTACCATGACTATCTATCTTTCTTAATCTATCTTATAGCTTATATTGTTTTTATCTTATTTGTTGATTGTGTTTTGTAAATTTGTTATCATATTCTCAAATTAAAAAATATTCTTAGTATAAATGCACAAAAAATAATGTAAACTGGACAGCTGACCTGCAAGAAAGCATATGATGGAGAATCTAAACAAATATATTCAAAACATGATCTAAATTGAAAAGGCCCTAAAATCTGTCAAAAAATAATCATAAAAAAATATGCTTGAGCCTGCATTAAACTACCTGACACTGCCTAAGTGAAATAAAGGTGTAGAATTACTTGTCATGTTCACAAGGATTAAAATTGCTTGGGAGTCAGGATAAACAACTTACACAGGAGAAAGGGAGGGGTTGTATTGATTAGTGATTAAAGCTCAGCATATTGCAATTTTGTCCACCATATACTACATTTTATTTATAATGAAAGAGCAACTTACAGTCACCATCTATCTATCTAAATCCACCTAGCCCTGAATAGCATATATTCTCCTACAGGTTTCTCTTTTTAAGATGGAAGGGTGGGGGTTCTACTAAAATTGTTTTATTCAAATAAAAAACAAATATCAGAAATCTTCTGAAGAACAAGGATTTAGGCCAGTGCTGAATTGAAACCTGATTTTGTGGGTTTTGAGATGCCACTTAAGTTCATTTAATTTGGTTAAAATTGATTAAATACAATATCTTGTTTAAAAAGCTTCAAGGTATAGGTTAAACATTTTTAAAGAAAGATTAAAAAAAACTTTTTGCACATTCTCTTTTACCTATAATGGAAGGTAGTCCATATCCAACAAAGTAGAACTTCATCATGAGAAATTTTTCAGAGAAAAACACTCTTACCAAGGCAATGTAGAGTGAGATTCCTCCAATAACTGAATTTTAGAAATAAGAATGATTTTTTTGTTCTGGAAGAAAGTGCTAATTTAAGATAATGACCTGTCCAAGCAAATACTGTAAGCCAAATAAAGTGAAGAACTCCACCAAAGGCCTCACATACCGTGCAACCAACATCTTTGTATAGTTCTAGCAACACAAAAATTTTAGGCATTTTATCAATAAGCAATGAAGAGGATTTTTGATTGAACCTGGAAGTATGATCAATAGCATCTGGGCGATAAAAAGACAAATATTTCTATTCCGTTCAATAGCTCTGATTCGTTTAAAGGTCTTGGTAAGGTTGGAGGGGTTTCTTTCAACAGTCCTTAATCAAATTTTAGATCTTTAAAAGGAGTGTTTTTGAAAAAACAAGAGGGTATAGGCTTATGACAAAAAATTATCGATGGAGATCCTTACTTATACCAAAGAACATAGCATCCATACAAATTCAGAAAGTTGCACTGTTAGAAAAACCCGCTTACAATCAACAGTATTCAGTTCACGCACCAAGCCATGAAGATCCGTTGTAATATATCAACGATAATTCTGCTTGATATCAATTTACGGCCTGTACTCTAAATTCTAATTACATTCACTTGAATTCTACTTACTTCAATCATCAGAAATCGAAGCAAGCATAATCCTGCTTACGTTAATTACAGTGATCCGGCGTTCAGACACGTACCGCCACTCAATTCAATCAGAATACTACTTGGATTCTGCATTAACCAGAATTCTGCTTACTTCAATTAAAATTCGACTCTCTTCAAGTAAATTCTAACAGAGATCAATAATGTATGTATTTAANTTTAATATTATTTATGTTTTGTTACAAGTTTTTATTTTACAAGTTCTGGAATTTCAAGAGTAAAAGACATAATAAAATTAAGTGCATTTTTAAATATACAAACCGTTGTAATTGCATCATAAGGATGATCTCAGTCAGCACCAGAAAGAAGCAGGAAAGGGAGAGTAGAGATATTGATAACTTACTCAAGGCTGAGGTATTATGTATAGGTAAAAACAATCTTAATTATTTTATTCAAATGATTTCTTTTTGATTAAATTAATGGTTTTTAAAATGAAAGATTTATAAGTTCTTCAAATAATATTTACTTGGATCATTGGCAGGAGCATTCCCTTCCCAGTCCAACATAGCTCCAAAGTTGGTACAATGATCACAAATACAAACTGCTTTGTCCAGAGTAGAAGAAACATAGTCAAACTAAACAAACAAATTTTATTTATTAAACTCAAATTTTCTTTGATATTTTTTTTTTGAGCCTAACCTTACATCCCAATGTGGACCAAGAACTAGTTGTAATATTCCAGAACACACAAGTAGGAGTACGGGGGACAAAAAGGCAAGTCCCTTGGTTCTAAAACAATCCTAGTAAGGAGATTAGACAAGGTTTGTGAATTTAAATAAAAGTTTTACCGAATATGTTTGATGATCAAAAATTATAGTAACGTCATTTTTCCATTTTGAGGTCTTGTTATTGATAGTAAGTCCTATCAATGTTTTTCCAAATTTTCCTTCATAGTAGTTTTCCTCTTTGCTCTCAGTTATTATCAATTCTGTATGAATGTTTTACATGGTAAGGATAAAGCCAAACCGTCTGGTCCATTGTAATACAATTTTTATTTACACCTTCCTATGAGGGGGGGGCATCTTTATGTATCCATATCAAGGGAAGGCAGAGATAATCATACGTAAGAAGCTGAAAAATTGAAGGACTTTGATGGTCTTATAAATCATCAAAAATGTAATAAATTGTCCCCTTTTTTTAAAAAATTTTATTTATACAGATCTATAACAATGTAACATTTTAAAATTTACATTATCTACTAAAAAGTATGATTATTTGTTAAAATAAGGAAACAAAGAACAATTTTACAAATACTAAACTCAAAAATCAAAATTTGTTAAAATAAAATCTAACTTTCCTGTTAAATTATTTGGAAATATTTCTTGGTCATTTGGAGTTCTAACCATAGTTGCAACAAGTACATCACAATCATAATCATCATCTTTTTCCTGATACATAAAATATTTTTTAAGACCATGGACATTTTCTTATTTCCAAAGCCATCACTCCAAGTGGTATAGTTTTTTCACATAAAATTACTTTGCTTGTAGTTTATTTTAATGATTTTTTTAATATACTAATCTCAACCAAATAATATTAATTATTATTTTTTTTATTAATATTATTATATTATCAATTTGTATTAATCAAAGTATTAAATATGTTCTCATAAAAACAACTTACCTCTTCTTTTTTTGACGTAATACATATTGAGTCCGAATCAAAGTAAAAACATTCCTTTGCACTCTTAGTAATATTGTCCACTGTCCTTGAGGTTAATTGTATGTTAGAATATTTAAATTCTTTCTCTGAAGTACAATTAAAACAATTATTTTTAATTGCATAGAGGTATCCAGTGTAGTCTAAAGCTTCAAGATAATCTGTCAAAGTTTTGGATTTGTTTTTCAAGTCTGAAATTTCAGTCCATCCAACAGATTGGTTAAAAATTTCATTGATTGAGTAGACAAGATTATTTGTGAAATTATCACAGCTGTTGCTTTCTGTTCTCCTTAACTCAAGAACTTTTGGAAGAATTTCTCCAAACTTTAATATTGTTCCACCCAGGGGAGGAGTACTTGATGATTCATTTAGACCATTATGAATTGTTTCTGATATGTCAAAAGCAGTCGAACTGTTAAACATCTCATCAATATTAGCTATCCAAGGATCAATGCAATTAGATCTGTCTGGTTCTGGGGTGTTAAAACGTCCCAGAGTTCCGTCGCAAAACCAAGAAGCTTGATTTTCACAAGGATCTGCACAAGAATCACAATTCTGATAAGCAAACTCATTGTATGTTGCATGCCATTTTTTATTTCTAGAATCAATTTCTGAACATATGCCTGCTGTTGTTGTTGTTGTTGTTGTTGTTGATGTTGTTGGTTTTATTGTTGTTGTTGTTGGTTTTACTGTTGTTGTTGCTGGTTTTATTGTTGTTGTTCTATTTGGCCATATTGTTGTTGTTGTTGTTGTTGTTGTTAATGCCTCTGTTGGTGTGTCTGTTTGGTCGTCTGTTGGTGTGTCTGTTGGTGCATCTGTTGTTGTATTTGTTGGTTTTGTTGTTGTAGTTGTTGGTTTTATTGTTATTGGTGCGTCTGTTGTTGCCTCTGTTGGTGGGTCTGTTGGTGCATCTGTTGGTGCATCTGTTGGTGCATCTGTTGGTGCCTCTGTTGGTGCGTCTGTTGGTGTGTCTGTTGGTGCGTCTGTTGGTGCCTCTGTTGGTGCGTTTGTTGGGTCTGTTGATGCGTCTGTTGGTGCCTCTGTTGGTGCGTCTGTTGGTGCGTCTGTTGGTGCCTCTGTTGGTGCGTCTGTTGTTGCATCTGTTGGCGCATCTGTTGGTGCACGTCTGTTGGTGCCTCTGTTGGTGCGTCTGTTGTTGCATCTGTTGGCGCATCTGTTGGTGCATCTGTTGGTGTGTCTGTTGGTGCGTCTGTTGGTGCCTCTGTTGGTGCGTCTGTTGTTGCGTCTGTTGGTGCGTCTGTTGTTGCGTCTGTTGGGTCTGTTGATGCCTCTGTTGGTGCGTCTGTTGGTTGTAAGGTTGTATAATTGTTTGTTGTTGGTGTGTCTGTTGTTGCGTCTGTGGGTGTGTCTGTTGTTGTGTCTGCTTGTTCCTCCTCTATTGTTATGTCCTCCTCAAGCAGAACAGGAAGGAAATCACCTAGTTTCCATAGAGAGTCTTCAAGAACTCCAAAGGCAGGACTTTCAAGTAGAAAACCATCAGATATTATCCTCGATATTTCTCCAGTAGATAAACTACTTAGAATATTGTCATTTAAATTGTCTATCCAGGGATCAGTGCAAGCAGATCTGTCTGGTTCTGGGGAGTCAAAATCTCCCAAAGTTTCATCACAGAACCAAAAAGCTTCCTGTTCAATTTCCACCAAAGAACCTGCATAAAGAGGACCCAGAGTCAGAGAACAGCTTTTTTTGGTAGACATCCCATACTTGCCAGTCCATAAAACACCTCTGGAGTCATATTTTGAACATGAGCCTGCTACTTCTAATGATTCCATCATATTTATTGATGATGCCTCTGCTAAAAGTAAGATAATGAAGATTAAACAAGAATAAAAATTAGATTTTTATGCAATGCTAATATTATTATCAGTAAAAGCTGAAATTCGGTTTCCCATTTTAGGGAACACTCCTTGCTTCCCAAACCATCTGTTAAAATTATGGCCCATAATTTTTTTTAGAACCAGGGTTTTTTTTTCATCGTTTGTTTTTCATTCTAGAACAAGAGACTTTTGCTAGATTCTTGGTTCCTTGCTCGTTCTTATTCCAATAGTTCCGTTCCCATTACACTCTTTGTGTTCTTGATCAAAAACAAATCCAACAATGGTTTTGGAGAATGGTTTAAAGAATGGTTCCAAAAAAAAAGGTGGAATAGGAGAGGGGGATCCACCCTCCTATTCCGGGAGGGATTGCAAAGGGGGGGTAACTTTTAACAACATTTTAAAGCATAATATCTATGTATTAAAGATACATAAATACTTTTTAAAACTTGCAAATTTTCGACAGCAAATCTATCAACATTCAACTACAAATATTTCTTGAAGCTAAAAGCTTAATTTTTGAATCTACACAATTTTTTTATAAAAATTTAGTTTTTTGTAAATCATTTACATCCTGTAATATATTACAGTGCAGAAAAAAATGTTTAGTTAAGCCTAATTTGGTACCAAAAAAATTAAATGTATATTCTTTTGTAACTCAGTTGGGGAACTCCGAACTATAACACTTTCTCGCCTTGTAGAAACTGAGGAAAAGGCTTAATGCTCATTTTCGGCCTTATAGAAAGCAAGCAAAAAACCAGGGTAATACAGGGTTGACAGATGAATGCAGGCATTCCTTGTTGATTTTATCGATGAAAAATTATAGCAATTAAATGCAGACATAAATAAAAGCATAAATTAAAAAGTAGAAAAAGAGAAAAGTCTTAGAACAAGCCTTTTGCTTGCTTTTTATCAGGCAGAAAGCGAGCATTAAGCCTTTTGCTTGTTTTTTATAAGGCAGAAAACGAGCATTAAGCCATTTACTCGTTTTTTATAGGCAGAAAGCGAGCGTTAAGCCTTTTGCTTGTTTTTTTTAAGGCAAAAAAACGAGCATTAATCCTTTTGCTTGCTTTTTATCAGGCAGAAAACGAGCATTATAAGCTTTTTGCTTGCTTTTAATAAGGCAGAAAACGAGCATTAAGCCGTTTGATCGCTTTTTATAAGGCAGAAAACGATCATTAAGTCTTTTACTCGCTTTTTATAAGCGGAAAGCGAGCATTAAGCCTTTTGCTTATTTTTTATAAGGCAAAAAACGAGCATTAAGCTTTTAGCTTGCTTTTTATAAGGCAGAAAACGAGCATTAAGCCTTTTGCTTGCTTTTTATCAGGCAGAAAGCGAGCATTAAGCCTTTTGGTTGTTTTTTTAAGGCAGAAAACGAGCATTAAGCCTTTTACTCGTTTTTTATAAGGCAGAAAGCGAGCATTAAGCCTTTTGCTTGTTTTTTTAAGGCAAAAAACGAGCATTAAGCCTTTTGCTTGCTTTTTATCAGGCAGAAAACGAGCATTAAGCCTTTTGCTCGGTTTCTTTAGGGCAGAAACAGCCCTAATCCCCTTTTGCTCGTTTTTAAGGGCGGAAAAGTATTTCAGAACCCCAACTGTAACTCCTTTATAAGTTGCCTGCATATTGGCACTCACAGACAGGAATATTAACTGTAATCTATTTTGTGATCGGTTGACAGATCAAAGAATTGTATTATCTCCTAAGATAAGAGTAGAACTTCAAATCAAACAGTTTGAATAATTTGAAGATTATTTTTTTTTGTAGATTATACAGAACTGGGGTTATCGAGTACAAGGTTCTAAATGGGTGCTTTTATTAAGTAAGGGGGAGCATGAAAGAACGAAGGAGGGGGAGGAGGGTCAGTTAATAATTCATAATATATTTGTTTTGTATACAATGCACTTAAAACTAACTTAAAAGAATTAACTACTATAAATGAATGCATCGAAAAATAATTGATGACTATAGATTGTAAAATTTTAATGATTTGTTTGAAACTAAATTGCAACTTTCTGAATTTGTATGGACGCTACGTTCTTCAGTATAAGTGGTTTTTAACAATTTTTTCCTTATAGACGCAAAACAGATAGATGTAATTAATTAATTAGCAGCGTTAAAAAGCGATTTTTTTGCCGTAAGCCTATACCCCCTTTCATTTTTCACGAACACTCCCTTTAAAGCTTTAACCTGGAGGAATAAACTAGTTATTTCTCGTTATTTTCAGTTATGCAAATATTTGATTGTTTCATGTTATCTTAAACTATCATAAGTCCTTACTATAATTTATGAAGGAGAAAATTTATATAAGGTTTTTTAAGGAAAATTTGTTTTAATGTGATAATAAATAAGAAATTTGAAATGTACTGCTTTTTATTCTATTTTTAGGGGGGGGAGGGGGAATATGCTCTCTTAATGTACACTCAATGCGTATTCATTGAAATACAAAATATTCGCAGAACTTGCTTATTTAAATATATTTAAATAAGCTTATATATCCGTAAAAACTCAGGGTCCAACCTAGTGTACGATTTTTGAATCCACCCCCCTTCTATCAATTTTGTACATGACCACTTATTTTTTCAGCAAATTTATTAATATTTATTTTTTTATTATTCAGGGTTAGGTTAGGTTAAAAAACTTTCTGTGTCGAGCGCTGCGGCCACTAAAGACCTTTAATTCATTAATTTTTAATAAATTTAGTGTATATTTAGGGTTAGGTTAGGTTAAGCTCACTTCTGGGCCAAGCGCTGCGGCTAGAACAGGCTAGGGGGCCGAACACCGCAGCCAGGCTAGGGGGCCGAGCGCCGCAGCTAGGACAGGCTGGAGGGGCCAGGCGCTGCAACCACATGGTCAATTATATCCATGTCTTACATATAAGATCCATTTACAAAATTGATTGTTATTTCCTAACATACGATTTTTGGACCCCCCCGTCCAAAAATCGTATGTTAGGAAATAACCACACATAAGCAGGTATTTTATGCACAAGACGAATCAAATACTCTGGCGTGCTTGCGATGCCCCAGAAATTTTGATTAATGCTCTTCAGAATAAGGGCTGTGCTAGTTGGCTCTCTTTGGGTGGGGGGAGCAGTCCTACCACATAATCTGATCCACTAGTTTTCCATCCTAGGCTTTAATCAGCAATTTCTAAACTCTGCTGACCCGAAAATAGGAATTCCCCATTATGCTTTTTAAATAATCCCACAAATTTCACAACATTATCATTTGTTTAACCTTCAAACATTTGTTATGCGGCTCCTAGAGTTACTTGCTTTTTCACCCTCGCAAACCAGGTAATGCAGGGTTTCATTTATTTGGTAATCAAACTTAGTCAAACAAAATAATGATAAAAATTCTATCTGAACGTAAACGGAACAAAATGTCATATAAATTAGGTCAACCACTTGAAATTATGTTTACAGTCTCTTAAAAAAATTATTATGTTAGAGGCCGTTCCGTCCAAACGCAGATATGAACAAGGTCATGTTCTATAATGACGCACTTTGGAGGAATATAGTTTGGGCGCTTGATGTCTCATGGTAGATTAACGTGTATTAAACACCTTTTACAAGCTTTTGTTAAAATTAACAAATATAGGTGTCTCTCGAAATTTTTCATTTTAGTTTTTAAAGATCAAAAAAGGGCTTTGAACGCCATAAACTATAGATTATGATAGACACCTGTGTCTGAGTGTGTATAGTATTATCTTTAATCTTCAGGTCTGTGTTGAATCGGTTAAGCTTAAGGACATTGTAAATAGTAATATTATGATAGAACTGTCTCTTATCTATCTAAAAGTTTAGTAAACAAAGTGTGTAAAA